GTGAATGGTCGCAGAAGACAATACGTGGACGTCTAGACCCATGGGGCCGAATACTGGTCTATCCGTAATAAATCGACAGGCCTCTGACAGTGTCGGTAAATTTATAAGGCCGAATGAATAACACGTTCGCGCTGGACACGTTCCTTTATACGTACCTTATTGATGTTATAGAAATCTACAAACGAAAATATCTACCACTTGAGACGACGCCTCCACAGGCGTGAATAGGTTAATGCACACGATTTTTTTTTACACACGCACGAAAAAAAATCGATGAAATCATTCAAAGATAGCGCCCTCCACATGCGTAAAAAGGTTAATGTACGCGTTTTTTTTGCACACACACAAAAAAAAAAATCATTCAAAAATAGCGCCCCCTACTGGCGTAAAAATGTTAATGCACGCGTTTTTTTACACACGAAATTTCTATTCGACCTCACACACGTCATTTTTAAAAACACACACGTCATTTTAAACACACGTCATTTTTAAACACACACGTCGTTTTTAAACACACGTCATTTTAAAAACATACACGTCATTTTTTAAACACAAATTATTTTTAAATGCACATGTCATTTTTAAACACACACATCATTTTTAATACACACACGTCGTTTTTAAACACACGTCATTTTTAAACACACACGTCGTTTTTAAACACACGTCATTTTTAAAACATACACGTCATTTTTTAAACACACATCATTTTTAATACACACACGTCGTTTTTAAAAAACACATAATTTTTAATACACACGCGTCTTTTTCAAACTAACACGTCATTTTTAAACACACACGTCGTTTTTAAACACACGTCATTTTTAAAACACACACATCGTTTTTAAACACACACGTTATTTTAATACATTCATCATTTTTAATACACACACGTCATTTTTTAAGCACACATACTTTTTAAAACACACACGCTATTTAAAATACACACATCATTTTTTAATACAATACATTTAATGCACATACCATTAAAAAGCACAATCCCACCGTTTTTAAAATGCATACACCAATTTAAAACACACACGCCACGGCCTCCAATACGTACGTAATTTAGAATTATTAGTCAGTTTAAAAACGACGTGTGTGTTAAAAAAAATGACGTGTATGTTTAAAAATGACGTGTGTGTTTTAAAACGACGTGTGTGTTAAAAAATGACATGTGTGTTTTTAAAGATGGCGTGTGTTTAAAAACGACGTGTGTTAAAAAATGACGAGTGTGTTTAAAAATGGCGTGTGTGTTTTTAAAAATGGCGTGTGTGAGGTCGAATGAAAATTTCGTGTGTGTAAAAGAAAAAAAACGCGTGCATTAAATATTTTCGCTGTTTTGAATGATTTTTTGTGTGTGTGTGTGTGCATAAAAAGCGTGCGTTAACCTTTTTACGCCTGTGGGGCGCTATTTGAGAGATTTGTTTCGTGTGTGTGTTAACAAAATCGCGTGCCTTAAAGGGGAGCAGAGGTGTGGCTTTTGACACTCTGTACATGAAATTTGAGATCTATGAATGAATTCTGTCGATAAAAACAACTTGTATGTGCTGCGAAATGCCCTAAATATCGGGTATAAAACGGGCTGTGAAGCAGAAGACAAACTTCCGCTTTTCCTGGTGTCATTTCGCCTCTAAAGGGCCAGTCAAATGACGACATCAGTGAACAATGACGATTGAAGCCATTCATGCTAGTACGCCAATCCCATAGAAATGCTACTATGAAAGACCTTGTTAACTGACTACTTAAAAGTTGAAACATGGCGAAATGTTGTGCGCAT